CTGAATTTGGTGCTTGTTTTAAGAGAGGGTGTTCCACAGGGCACAGAAGTATCACAGATGGGTGGACTGTGGTCATTCACATCTCTGCTGTCTGGGCTTTGCAGACAGACTGGGTTTTCTCTCCGCCTGAGTACTGGAAAGTCCAGAGACACCAGAGGAGGATCACGACTGAGGTTGTAGAGCAGGCTGGCTGTGGTGGTTAACGTTACTGCCAGATGAGGCGAAAAAAAAAAGTAGACTGGTTTGGGTTGGAAGGGACCTTTAAAGGCCATCTAGTCCAACCCCCTCTGCAATGAGCAGGGACATCTTCAACTCGATCAGGTTGCTCAGAGCCCTGTCCAACCTGACCTTGAATGTTTCCAGGGATGGGGCATCTACCACCTCTCTGGGCAACCTGTTCCAGTGTTTCACCACCCTCATCGTAAAAACATTTTTTCCTTATGTCTCGTCTGACTCTATCCTCTTTTAGTTTAAAACCATTACCCCTTGTCCTATCGCTACAGGCCCCTCTAAAAAGTCTGTCCCCAAGACATGCACACATTCCCCCCATGCACACATCAAGAGCACAGGTAGCTTCCCCTCAGGGGTGCTGTACGGTCATGCTGCAGCTGTGCCTGGTACATTGTAGTGGGTAAGTAACGTGGACCGGTGTTAAATTTAGTCCTGAGGCTAAATCATGCAGGAACAGCCTATGCAGAGTGATTGAAGACCCAATTTGCAGGTACTTGACCATCTCCTGGCTCTGCTAATGGGCAGAATTCTCAATGGTCTTGTCTTGCTGGAAAAAAATAGTTTATTTTTATTGTTTGCAGGTGGTTTCTATACATGGTCTTTGTTTTTTTGCTGGGAGCCATTTGTACCCGTCAGTCACTCCGCTATGACTTCATGATAGCAGAGAAGGTAACTTGTTTGAATAATCCAGCGTGGTTTTATGTAATGGTGCTTTGGGGTTGCCGTCTGCCTTACCGAATGCTTGAATTTTCCAAAAGCCTAAGGAATTTGGGTACCCATCCCTCACTGAAATTCAGGGGGATTTCCCCATTGCAAATCCCAGTGAACAATTGATTTTAATAGCTTTGCATTCACCAGCATATCCAGTAATGCTGAATCTTGGCATAATCACCCAGCAATAGCTTTAAGAGCTAAAATATGCTAATGTGGGCTAATGATAAATGCTGTATTTTATTCAATGTATCCTTTCTCATTGGTGAAAGCTTAGACCAAATTGAAATCTCTAAAGAACCCCACTGCTTATCTTTACTAAGTCAAGCGAAGCTTACATTTCCATATCTAGCAGGCTGTAATTGCAGGGTGAGCAATAGGATTATTAAACTCGAGACATTCCACATGGGTGTATATGCATGAGGGAGGTTTGTAGTGCTACAGGCAATGAACCTTATCATTGCAGGCCTGTAGAAAGAGAGCAAAAGGTTTTGGTGTGTGCCATTGTCTTACTTTAAATGGGATATGGAAGGGCTCGTTTTCTATTATTCAGCATTATCCAGAATCATGGGTTCTCTCAATTTGACGCTATTTCTTGCGATTAATTTAAAATTGAGATGTTTGCCATTTATTTGATATGTAACATGGTTTTAATCTAAAATATGAATTTGAAACTCTGGCTTTGTTTTCCTTCTGAGTAATTGTAGCTCTAGACTTCCTCCAGCCCCCAAAATAAACTCCAAATTATTAGTGGGGCTCCTGCCACTTCCTGCTAAGGTAAAAAATCATCTCTGTTTCAGGGAAAAAAAGAATGAGCCTACCTTCTTTAAGGCAACGTCTTTGTATGTCAGTGACTTAGTGGGCGAAAAGTACAGTAACTAAAAGAATCAGCTTTAAATGAATCAGCTGAAGAGAAAGAGATTGTTAAAGCTGTGTTTTAATTTTAAAACCCTGGGGGGTGGGGGGAAGTGAAAAATCTCCCAGTAAAGAATGTGAAGATATTTAATAATGTTAAATATAAAAAGCAAGCAACCAATCAAACCCACAAAAAAGTAAATTCAGTTTTCTTTTCCCTAGTATGGAACAAAACAATGGTGCAATCCCAATATTCATGTTGCTTCTTTGAGTTATTACCAGCTGCTTTAGATTTTAATGACTTTGTTTGGAGAGAGGGAGGGAGGAGAGATCATTACACATCCAAACTCTCTCTTTCTGTCACTCACAGGTGAGCGAGTGCTTGGCTGCTTTTTTCTCTCACAATACTTGTTTGGCTTTTTAAACATAAAAATGAGATTCAGTAATTTCACTTCTAATGAGCTCGAAGTGCCAATTTCTTACAAAGTATTCACACTCTCCGTGCTCAAAACCTCCAGCAAACCCTTTCATCAGCCTCGGTGAAAAGGACTCTTCCCCTCTAACCCTGATTTGAATGTCAAGTAGTACATTTAAATGCAAGCATTTTTGGCAGCTAAAATAATATATGGTGTCTAGCACAACTGGTTGTTTCTTCCAAGTATTTCTCTGAGCAGGGCAGGATTAGAGGAGAGGGAAGGGAAGATTCCCCATCGAGTGTCTGTCCGTTGGTCTAGTGAAAGCTGATATCTGCTCATCTTTGCCTCAAGTTCCTTCTGTCCCACAAGATAAAATTCATAAGGCCAAGTGGATTTTCATGGGGAAAAGAAATGTTGTGGTAGGAAGTTTGTATGGTTCTGGACCATGACATGAATTTTACATGCCTTTCCCGAACAGCAAGCATTTTTCGGCTTTTTACCCAATCTCCTTTTTGCTGCGTGAGGATTTCGTAGATGAGGAAAAGGCAGATGTAGCTTGAATCATCTTTAGCCTTGTAACTTTTTGTAATTCCTTATAATACAGCATGTGCCACCTGACCTCAACAGGGGCAGAAGCTGAGATGTTCATTTAGACCTTATTTTCCACGAGAGGAGGGGTGGGAGCAAAGGCCATGTGGGATGCAGGGGACCAGCGTTGGGTGACATCCTCTGCCATGGATGTCTCTCTGCACCTTCAGCAGCTCGCTTCAGTGGAGTATGGGCAGGACAGATCCGGACCAAAATTTGGGGGTTTTCTCCCTGCCTGGCCTTTGTGCTGGTGTTCCCCCCCATGTCTTGCCTTTCTCTGTGGCTGCCTGCTGGCTGTCAGACCCTGCGGTCTTGCAGGACTCGGGGATGGCGCAGGTGACCCTAGACCTTAGTCTCCTTGGCTGTCTCTGCCCACGTCCTTACACCATGGTACCAGGAGCACTCCCATTTCAAACCTTTCTTGCACAGTGTTCATATTGTGGGGTTTTGTGTATTTGGGTGGGTTCTTTTTAGATATGCTACCTGTGCTTGCAGCTCTTGACAGCGGGGACCTGCGCAGGGGGACCCCGGTCCTCGCTTCTGTGCGATAGACCATGAGCTGCCCTCCTTCCCTCCACGCCTGCAGGAGATGCTCCCAGTTTGAAAGGGTCCTCACTAGAAACCAGTAATAAACCCAGCCTTGTTAGCACTGTGGCTTTAAAGATTTTTTTTAAGTTTCATGTTGGCCAAAGGAAATTCTTTTCTCATTGAAGACAGGAAAATAAGGTCATTGTATTATATCCTTCGGAGCGTGTTTTTTGAGATGCCATTTGTTTAAGTGGCAATTTTGATGTGGTTTGACTGTGGATTTTCTTTCAAAATTGGTTTTTCCCTCTGGGCCACAGGGGTTTGTCTTCCTGTTTTGGATGGTTGGAAGCCTGGGCAGCTTTTCCTGTATGATGTGCTCTGTATATAAGTGATCTCTCCTGAAATAAACTCACTTCCAGTTACTGAAGGGGAAACTAATAGCTGCTGCTTTGCTGCAATTGCTCCAAGTGACAAAGAATTTCTTGGATAGGAGCTTGTCAAATGGCTCTGTCGGTACAGGATGTTCAGTATTAAATTACTTTTATGGGATAATTTTCCTGTATTAATTGCTTGCACTTTATACCACAGACCAGTTAAATTGCTGCTTTCCCGGGGCTCGCTCTGTTCTTTTAGCAATCTTACAAAATATATGTGATCTCTTAAAACACATGTATTTAAGACTGCTCGGGGGTCTTTAAAGAACAATATAATCAACTTTGCATTCTCTCCGCTTCCTCCAGGTATCCTTGGTGGGTTTCTTGTTTTTGCTAGGGCTGTACATCTCGTCCCTGGCCTCCTGCATGGGAGGGCTGTACGGAGCTCCCAGGATCATGCAGTGCATCGCCCAGGAGAACGTGATCCCCATGCTCGCCTTCCTTGGACGTGGGGTTAGTCATCCTTTCTTTGAGATTGCTGTCAAACCTTCACCTGAAGGAATACCGGTGATTTAAGAAGCCAGGATTTCTATGTGTCTGTAGGGTGAGATGGGGGTTGTATGAGATGCAAGGAGGGGAAGGCTCAGGATCTGGTGCCCTATGCATAGGCAGAAACGCCAGGAAATGGGTGGTTTTATTAAAAAACCAAGAGCCCAGCTGCCCGCGGTCCTTCCCCTGCCTGTCCCCTGTGCTGCACTGCCTCTGCTCCGAGTCCTCCCACGGGGCTCAGCACCGCGCAGGAGCAGCCCTGCTTCGCCCCAGCATCTCGCTTGCCCACCTCCGCGCCCCGGCCCCGGGGCTGTCTGTCCTACCCCCCCCTTCCTGGGCTGCCATCGGTCCCCTCCCTCCCTCAGACCCATGTCTTCGAGATGTCCCCAGTAAAACAGCCACTTAGGATATAACTTTGCCTGTGGGTTTTTGTTGCAAACGCCTTATCTACGCTGATGCTGATCCTAACCGTGACCGAGGGAGGCACCTAGCTCTTCTCTGCCCTCCTGTCCAGGGCAGAGGTCTGAAGCTTTTGTCCGAGCAGTTGGTAAAATGGATGGTAACTGCCTCTTTATCTTTTTTTTTTTTTTTTCTTTTCTTCTTCTTTCCTGCATATTTTCTTTGAGCTGTTCCTATCCTCTTTGGTAACCTCGTAGCTGAGTACATGACAAGTCATGGTGCTGTGGATTCAGTCTGTGGGCACTGGAGGAGAGGACGCTTCTTTGTAAGATAAGGTGCCTTTTGGACACTATAAAATAAAAACAAAGAATAGATCTGAAAGGTTAAGTTAGGGGGCTGCTAAGCCCCTAGATATGCTTTGAAACAAAGCCTTGCTTTGAATATGACAAGAAGCTTTTTCCTTGTCCTCACAAATAATCCTCATTCACATGAGTTGTTCTACTGAGGTCAGTCAAAGTACCAGCCACTAAGGGCTCTAGTCTTGGGCTATACATTCAGAGCAAACTATTTTTCATGGTTTTCCCTTCTTCTCAACAGGGAAAAAATAATTCCATCACTCTTAATAATCTGTAGTACCTAACTGTCTGTACTGAGCGGCTGGAAAAACCATTTTCCTCCTTCAGAGCAGCTTGTAAATACAGAAAAATATTTTACAATATGGGTATTTATGAATGTTTTAAAATATTTAGATGTTTTGTAGGTATAATCATTTTCTAGCCTTTGTTTTATGTTTCTCAAAGTGATTTTCTAAAATTAAAGTCATAATAATAGCAATAATAATAATAAATAGTGATAATTATAGGGGAAGCAGGAACAATAGCGACAGCAAACACTTCCAGCTCCTGAAGGCAGTTGTCAGGTGATCCCAGAACAGGCTGTTCTCCACTTGGCAATCCTTGTAAAATTCTCAATGATTTAGCAAAGTTGACTGCGAAGTTGATTCCCTCTCTTCTCTGATAGTTTTCTGTCTTTCTGTCAAATTTTCTGCTGTGAACTCTTTCCGGGCAGAGTGCCATGATGGGAAGGGCTCAAAAAGAGGTGAGAAATCAAAGGCAGATCACTTTTCCCCCTTCCTTCTCTCTGCCACCTTGAAAATTGTCTAGATTTAGTTTGTGGAGAGTTAATAAATTTAGTTTATCCTGACCAATCTGTTCCACATCAGTTCTTCTTTTCCGTGGTTGAAGAAAGTGTTGTAGTCACCATAACCTCAGCTGATGGGAAGGACACGAGTGTTTTCTGTAGAGTTAAACCCAAGCCAGAGGCATCCTGAGATCGTCCCATCTGTTCCCCATCTCAGTACATCTTTCTGATACCGAAGATGCTTTCTGAGAACTGTGTTCCTTCGTCCCCGAGACGTATTTGTATTTCGTTGTGAAAAGGCATAAGGTCCAGAACTGCTCCCCTTTTCTATTAATAAATAAGAGTGGAGGAAATAGAAATAGTTCTCTTTGAGCTGTGTGTTTATTAAAGAAGCACATGCAGTAAGTGAAAACCTAAGATATTTTGTAAGATATTTTGTAAGATACCTTGTAAGATATTTTCCAGCGAGGTCTTTACTCAGCCTGCCCAGGCTTCTCGAAACAGCAAGACAGTGCCTGGTCCAAGGAAGGGCACGTTAGACCTGGGATTAAAGTTCACAAGCTGATGGCTCAAGTCTTTCCACCCCCGATGCCTTTTGCTTTGTCTCTCTTTTTCTCCTCCTCTGCACTTCACCGCACCCCAAGGGAGACGAGCCGGCGGTGTTTCTCCTGGCTGCCTGCCTTCCCGCCGCACGCCCGGCGTGGCTGGGGGCCGACTCCCGCCCTCCAGCATCCTCGGCCGCCTAACCTCTCTGCTGCTTTCCTCCCCCCGCTGGGCAGGTGCGGCTTGGGTGGGTGTGAGGAGGGAAACCCCGAGTGCAGAGGCTCAGCAGACCGTGGATTCGGCTCAGCCTCATGTCAGGGCAGGGCCAGAAGCTGCTGATGTGAAGGTGGCACTGCTCGGTGCAGGCAGAGCTTCCGTGACTGCCTCTGGCAGTCGAAGCCTTTCTAACGGCAGCGTGCGGGAGCCTTTTGGGTAGGCAGCGATGCGGAGTCCTGTGGAGAAATTAGAGATGAACAGTTAACTCCAATTAACAGGTTTTATTGCCAGACTTCCCATAAGCCCCACAAATCTCTCTGAAAGTTTATTGCTGCTTTAATGACATTGTTTTACCATGGAGATAGGAGTGAGAGTGGATGAATTTTCCAAAGACAAAGCTCGGGTAAGGCTCAGAGGTGAGGTGGGAGCTCAGCAGCTTTTGGCTTCCAGCCTGTTCTTTAATTTATTAAGCCGGTGAGCCTCTGCTTGCACATGCACGCATGTATTTCATGAGTAAGGGGTTACTGCAGACCACCCGGGTAACCGCCCATGGCAGCTGAGCAAGTGGGGAATCCTCACGGCGAGGCTCACGGTTATTAATTTAAATGTAAGTTTGTTTTGTTTATGAACTAGAAAGGACCCAACAAGACTCCAGTGGCTGCGATTTGCTTAACAAGTCTCATCACCATGGCTTTCGTCTTGATTGGGCAAGTGAACATTCTTGCTCCCATAGTCACCATCAACTTCATGTTGACGTATATTGCTGTAGACTATTCCTATTTCTCGATCTCCTTAAGCTACAACGTTCAGCAGAAACCTGACAAGACCCAGATGGAAAACACTAGACCTGCTCACTCTTCCCAGCCTTTAATTTTCAACAAGCCCTCCAGCCATGCAGCAGATGGAGTAATTCAAAGCAGATCAAATGGCACCTTGCTGGAATTCACAAAAGACATGGACCAGCTTTTTAAACCATTTCGTAGCGAGCCAGGTACTTGCAAAAAAGGAGGAGCCGAGAATTTAACCCAAAAGGTCAAACAAAAGAACGCAAAGAAGCCAGCCAAGCAGACGTTACAAGACAGCTTTCTCCTGGATCTCCACCACGATGCTCCCCCGGCTCAGTACGGCTGGGATGAGACTGCGGAGCCCCGCAGCGAGAGCCAGCAGGACCTGGCTGAGCAGGGCTGTCGGCAAGATGCGGGTCCATGCCCATCGCCTGCTGCAGTTGCCCAGTGGACACCCGGGCTGCTGGAGCGGGGGGAGCAGCTCTGCAGCGAGGTGCCGGCGCTCCCCGGCCAGAGGGGAGAAGGTAAGAGCTGTAGGAGATGGACACCTCCATGCTCACGGGGGAATGGTTTATAACCTTAGTTCTCCTGGTGCTTTCCTGAAGGCAGGCGTGAAACTAGCTTTATATGGGGCTGTCATTCGGTGATTCATAACGATAATATCATTTATTCCAGGTGAGGGTAGAGTTTGTCGCAATGCATCACAGGAGACGTTCCAATGCAATTTCCTATGGAAGATTAATGACAGGAAAGCAGGCAGGACTATATTTAGTGTAGGGTTGTTTACTATATACTCATTATTCCACACATGCGTGCTTAGCACTGTACATCAAAAAGGGTTTGAGTGTATCTTGGGGTTTACTTCATCCTGGTGTGGGGAGGAGGGATGGAGACATGCGAGTCTAAAACTCAGGCTATCAAAATGCAGTGGTCCCCATGCCACAGGTGGAGCCTGTAATTCAGCGTCCACGGCTAAGAGTCTGAATTTGTTTTGTTGGCGATGTGGGTGTTTGATACTGTGTGTTTGCTTGGAGTTTGTCGTCTCAGTGCTGTAGTGTTTTATCAGCATTGGTCAATTAAGCTTCATAAACCCCTCTGAGGGAGAAAAGTATTATTTCTCTTTTTTCACAAATAGGGAAACTGAGGCAGAGATAGGCAGATGTGGCCCTCAGATGGACTCAGTAACAGAGTTGGCAACTTTTTTTTTTCCTTGCCTTTCTTTTCTGTTTTCATTTTAGAGGTTTTGGTTTAACTCTGCCATACCCAGCTATCACCTAGAATTTCTGCTTTGGTTTTCTGGAATCTGGTAATGTAAAGTAGGAGAAAAAAACCACATTATAGCTCCTTTCTAATGTCTCTTCCTTTTTTTTTATTTCTTTTTTTTTCTGTAGAATCATCTATAAAACAACAAAATCCAGAGCTGGGAATTCAGCAACTACCAGAATCCTTCTACTCCAAATTCTTCAGTCACTGGGTTTCCTTTGCTGGTGTAAGTAATTTTCTTTTATTTTCAGCACTGGTTTGTGATTGTAGGAAACGGAAGGGAATTCATCACTTACTGCAATGTAAATACACCCCAGTACTTCAAAATGGCTTTTGATTCTAGTATTCCAAGTCACCTGAATTAAGTACTCAAGGTACCATGCATCCAGCAGTTCAAATTCGGAGAAAGCCAGATGGCATATTAATTAAAACAACAACAGCAAAAAAAGCCTCAACCCAAACCCAAACCAAAAAGATACAAATTCAAAGTCTGGCATCTTAGGACTTTAGAGATGCATGGCTGGCTGGGAAAAAATCAGTGTCCCGCTTTTCACTGTGTGCCAGCCTGCTTTTTCTTGCCTGGGATGGAGTGAGACATCAGCTTCAAAGCTGTGTTCCTTTTATTTATGAGCCAGTTTCTGCGAGCTCAGGGTGGGGTTTCATTAGTGCTGACCTCCTGATAACAGCAACCCGGCTGTGAAATTCCACCTTTTGAGGGAGGAAAGTGGGGCATTCCTCCAGCACACTACTTTAAAGAATGAGTAACTTTTCAATAGCTTCTGTCTCAAGCTGCTGAGGAGTTTAGGACATTTAAATTCATCTTGGGAAGATGGATTAATGGGCAGATGACAGGGAAAGGGTCAGATATGCATAACGAATGACCCATATGGCTTTGCTGCACGGATGGGGATCTCATAGCTGTGTGTAAAATGTAACAAACCCCCTCGAACAACACACCGTTGTTTAATCCTCAGAGGGAGTTCGACACCTACTTTTCGAATTCAGTGCTGCTGCTGCCAGCAGCCAGCTCCTGGCGAGGAGTCCCGCCGGATTGCGGTGCCAGGGGTGGGATGGATGTGCAGGCTCCTCTCTAGCGATGACATCTTTAGGAGGTTGCACCCCGATGCTGTCTCTGGGCTTGGTAACTAACGTGGCTCCCAAGGGCGTGTCATCGCGGAGCGGTCAGCTCCCTGCCTTCGCGGGGGAATTTGCTTACGGAGATGACTGACGTGTTCATTAAAGCAGATTTGGTTTCCTGTCAATAGTCAGGCTTGGGAGGAGGTCGCAGCAGAGCTGAGAAAGGATCAACGATGCAAAATAAAATCACAGAAGCAAAAATGAGATGCGTTTATTCATCCCATCTCCTTTCCCCTCTGCCGTCTCTCTTCAAGCTTCACCGATCGTGTCAGTCTGGACTCATTTAGCTTTTTCTTTGCGTGCTGCCCCTTGCTGCTCCTACCCTGATCCATGAAGATGCTACCCCTGCCCCCGTTCGTATGCCCCTTGAGCCAAATCTACCTCCTAGGCTGGTGAGTCTCTGGATACTCCTCTTGGAGTAGCCCAAGCAGAGACCTGAGGTCCACACTGCTTCTAGGACTCAAGGTAGCTCAGTGAAAGCTACCTCTGTGCTGCTGAAGATGACACTGTAAACCTGTGCTGTCCTTCCTTTGAACAGTGAGACCAAATGAGGCTCCGTATAACACGGGAACCTCATTACTGAGAAACTTCAGCCATGCCATACCCAAATCTTTTCAGATAACACTGTGTGGAAATGCTCTACATGTGGCCAAAAGCCACGCACCATGGAGTGTTTTGCAGGCAGGAGATGACGTGGTTGCCTAGAGGTCCTGCTGCACCACTGTCCTCAGCCACCGATGCCCAGGAGCATCCATCCACACACGTGGTTGCGGCTGGCATCGATCCTCCCGTGGGCAGGACCCAGGCTGTGCAGCAGGTCTTGAGCAAGGAGAGCCTCTGTTGTGTCCTCATCCCAGGGCATCATGAGGAGGGAGACACCTAAAAGGGAACACTCGTCAGGATAATGCCGAATGGCTGCGTCCTGGGTCCTGACTGTGCACATCTCTTACACAATACTCCTGAGAAGTCCCTGAGAAAGCTGGAGATGCGGAGATGCCATTGAAGCACTGTTTTTCCATGATTCTAAAGCCAAGATTCAGCATTTCTGGCAAAAAAACCCACCCAAAAAACAGTTACTGATGTTCTCATAACAACTTGAAAGCTCCAGCACTGCCTCAGTTATTAAAAGAGTTTTCGTTAGAGTTGCAAAGCATGCTCATCTTGCAAGGTTGAAGAACAAGTTGTTGATCTGGTGTGCGGCTGTGTCTGAAGGTGAGTAGTCCTTCCCGGGCGCTGCAAGGAGGTTAATGGAGCTGCTGGGCTTTGCAGAAAAAGGACTGTCAGCTTGTCAGCAACGTGTTATCTTACGGACTCTGGAGTAACCCCAAACCTTGTCTTCCCAACAGGCGATCGTGTCCTTCATCATAATGTTTGTCATTCAGTGGATCTACACCCTTGTCAGCCTGGGTGCGGCGGTTATTCTCTATTTCTACATCGGCCAAGTGAGCCCGGGACTCCCCCTTGGTGAGTATTTTTTTTTTCCTGTATTATTAAATCTGCTTAAAAATTCATTAAGCTTTAATTTAATTTAATTAGGAATCAAGACTCTTGTGTTTAATATGCAGGTGACACAGTGAATGATGAGGTTTTGTTTTGTTGCTAGTTTTAATACGTTTTCTCTCTGGCTCTTTAATTTTATATTGGATTCTAACTGCAACTAGCATGAGTTTGATAGTTTGAACATTGTGCTTATTGCTTTAATATATTGTACTTTAAATGGCAAAACCAGATACTAATACTAAGACTTAACAGGGATGGCAGATTGTGAATGTATCACAGCAATGAGAAAAATCTGCCGTAAATATGTTTTAATAAACTTAAGTAATCAATCTAAACCCACCTGAGAAAACTAATGAAAATGGGAATTATGACAAATATCTCATTAAATCTCAGCATTCATAACTGCAGAACAAGAGAGCCTTTTGATTCCAGAACTAAACAGGTTGAATGTGTTGGGAACGTAATCTGGGAAAATACTCTTAGGCAGAGGGCATTAGAAAGGTCTGCGCATGTGATCGGCTTAAACAAGTTCAAAATTAAACAGCGAAGCACATTCAGAAAGCAGCTCATGAGAGCCCACAGCTCCTGGGCACGGCCGCAGGAGGGGTTTGCGTTGGTCTGTGTCTCTGAAAGGAGAGGGTGATACGCATGCAGTGTGCGCGTACTCACGTACTTATGCATGAATACATAGGTGGGTGCATGCACGCATAAGTACCTGCACTTGTGTACGTGCAATTTTTTGTCCAAGATGAGAAACCAAACTGAGAAAAGTCAAAAGAACCTGAGTTCATGTCTTCTAAGCAATGCAGAAATAGCTACCAGGGTTTGTTTAGATGAAAGATTATTAGACACTAGGTAAGTAGGTACTTGATCTCAGAAACCCAAACGATGAGACACCAAAAAATAGTTGGTGTAACGATCTCAGTAACATTCAAAACATCGCTCGCCAATGCTTCTCTTTCTACTCTAATGATTTCTTTTCTATTTATCTGTATGGGAGAGTAGAAAAGAGCTGAGATTGTGGATAGTACTTGCTAATTTGTATCTTTTGAAGTCTGTCTAAGTTTTAACAAAGTCTTTTGTATATTAAACCAAACACAGATAAGATTTTCAGGCTTTGGAGTTTTCTTTGCCTTTGTGTATTCACTATATTATATCTCTGTTATCTGCTTTTGAAATATTTACCAAAAATGACTTTAAAAATAATTTCTCAGTGTGTAGAGGATTTTGGAAAGTGGTTTGAGGAATGGCAGCGTAATTAGACTTTTTTTTTCTTGGTTTCCTTTGCACATGCATTCCTATGCATACAGTAAAACAACTCATGGCAAAGAAGTTGTTAGAAATGAACACTCAAAGTTCAGCCTGATTTTTATTTGGCTGTGAGCGAACGTTATTTTGCAGTCACATGGCATCCAATGATCCATGAGTTTGTTCTCCAAAAGACTGAATGACCCTTCTGTCTAGAAAGGTTGGGAGACACTAGCTGGAGAGATGCTCTGGATTAAGGATTAGACTAAGACCTTGGGAGCAGAAATGCTCTGGGATTTCGACACGTCCCTTCTCCTCTCTCTTTCTCCCCAACAGCCTAAGCCAAATCCAGCAGGCGCTGCTGGGTTTCTGTTCTCCTCCCTGTCCCTCACCACAAACTTCTCCTGCTGCCAGCTCCGGCACTTCCCTGCAGTGCGCCAGTGCAGGAAACTAGCTCTACAGAGAAATCAGGAAAAAAATGGCATTGGTGTAATAAGCTAAGCCAGCTCTCCATGGGGTCAGACGGGAGGGAATGAATGGTGAGACCACAGCCACCCTGGTTGAGGTCGGTTGAATGGCTCCTCCCGTCTCCCCATCCTTGCAGCGGGAATGAGCTTTGCAGTCCGGGGAGGAAAAGGCACTGCAGCGGGTCTGTGCTTTGCTCACGGCTTTACCGGGGTTTTCACAAGCTGTCAGTGTGGGAAAGGATAACTATTCTCCGTGGGAAATTTGGGTTAAGTTTCTTGACAATCGTTTAAAAGCCATGGTGTGTGGAGAGACTGCAGAAGAGTTCTCTCCATTGCAAAAATCTTTGTGTACTGAAGGCTAATAACAAGCGTGTTGGTTTGAGATTTATGCAAAAATTCAATGGTGTAATGCTATTATGAGAGAATTAGCAGCGTACTGACTTCTCGTGCCTTTTCTCTGTAGGAGCAGCAGCGAATTTCAGTTTCTTCGGCTGGATTAAGTCGGTTTTGATCACCTCGTGCAGGTTGGTACAAGTCATTTGGCAGCGACCGAGGCGGTGCTCGTTGTTCCCGTGACCCACTAATGTGCACAGAGAGGGGTGGCAGAGTTGACTTGCTTATTACCTTAAGAAGTCCCTTCTTGCATACTCAAAGTTATTCTTAATGATAAAAATAACTGTTTGCTTCTGTTAGCCTGGCGTATGGCTGACCACGTAAGTGGGAGAGCTGGAGTCTCCTCTGCTTTATGCGTGGACACGTCAGCTGCTAACCATATCTCGGTGCCTGAAGCTCTATCTTACCCCAAAGGTCTGAGCTTAACCTTGGTGGCTTAGGTTGAACTGGAAAATCTGGTAGGAAATGAGGAACAGGAGACTCCGTCTCTTCCACCCACCATCCATTGAAAGTGAATTACTGTGGTAGTGGTACACGTGGCAGCTGTGCTTGAATTTCAGAGAGGAAATTTGGGGGGAAGCTGCAATAGCTACAGGGCAAATACAATAAACAAGGTCTTCAGTGAAGGAACCATTCAGTACTGAGTTTGCATGGGACTGCAGTAGCATTGTCTTGGGGTTTTCCTTCTCAGAAGACCTTAAGGGTTTTGTTTGGTTGGTTATCAATTAGTTTTGTTAATCTGTTTTGATTTTATTAATTATTAATTCCATTACATTTGGGTTTCCCACAGAGGGTAGAGACCATCTCTGCTGCTGTACAATGCAGTGGGATTTTGAGGTTCTCAATCTGTTGGGTTGCTTCTTTGTTGCGGTAGGTGAACACTGTGGTAAGGACTGCACAACACGAGCTGCCATGCATTAGGTGGGCAAATTTGGTGGCTTCTTTAAAATAAATGGAAGTCCAGGCATTTAAGCACATTGGCACACACCTGTGTCTGTCTTGGCAGCTCCTGCCTCTGCCTGCAGTCCGTATAGCATGGCCACATGCCTTGGTAGCAGGGTGGCTTGGGAGAGAAGCTGGGGGTGACAGGACCTCTCTTAGGTTCCCACGGCAGGTCTGTGGCATGGCTGAGAACAGACAAGTCGGTTCTCCCACATCACATCCATCCCTCTCTCTACCAGACCAGTGGATGTCTCCGAGTATGGGAGTGGGTCCCTGAAGACCTCTTGCCACGAATAGCTTTGTTCACACAGCTACTGCTGCCTCTCACGGCAGTTGTGTAAAGCGGCGCGCTTGCCTAAGCGTTAGGGGATGAGAGCCCGACTACCCAGAATAGGAGGAGGAATGGGGTGCAGAGGGTGTGCACTATGTTTTCTGCATATCTCGTTTGGAGAAGGGGTTGTTCCCCACCCCTTTTCACAACATCTGCTGGACTGGGGACACGAGCCCAAGCCGAGGATGAGGAGGTGAGGATGGGAACAGGGTGCATGGGGCCATGCTGAAGCACTGCCAGAATTACTCATGGCACAGTGAGTCAGACCCCACTGCTCCGTATCCCAGACACTTGTCTGTCCAGTTCCACCTCAGTGTCCAGGCGGATTCGTGGCAGGTCATTTTAGCTCGGTGTGGCTATGATGATAGAGCGGGATTTTCCTCCCGGTTGTCCCTCGGTGCATCTCAGCCCTGTCTCCTGCTTGTTGTCAGAGGTTCCCCACGGGAGGCTGGTTGAGATGCGAGGCTTCATGGAGAGTTACCATGTGTGGAAAGGAGAAACTATCCCTCCCGGAGAGCCAGCCCCACTTTTCGTGGGTAGAGGTGCTTTTGTCACAGGCGGATTTTATCTTGCGGGTGACTAGACCGGCACAGTCCTTAGTGCCCCGACCAGTGCAATCCATGAGCAAAGACCCTGCCGAGGAGGGCTGAGTGGCAGCTGGCCAGTGCCCAAGGCAGAAACTGATCCTATTTCCCTTTCCTCAAAGAGTGCAATCTCTGGGTCAGCCAGCCAGCTTGGTCGCCTTATCCTAGTGCCAGGGCTTCTGCTGCTGCTGGCACAAAGACAATTTCGGCTCTGCTTGGGGGTCGAGCGGGTCATTTCGAAGCCACCTTTGCTACACTGCAAGAAATTGCATTGAAGTAATTTACAGGTTTTTCCTAAGCTCTGTTTTCTTGAAATCCAGGCAAGATCTTTGAATGAACTGGAGATAAAGAAGAAATCCCATTAGACTGCAAGAGAGTTGGAGGCAACCACGGATCCTTGACACCTCTAAGGCTCTTAGGTGCTCAACGAGGTCTGAGTCGGTGCTATAAGCTCTTACAGTTTTGATTTGCAGATGAGCAGTAAGGTTTTCTTAAAATCAGCCTCTGGGATAAAGAGATTGCAGGAAAATCTCCTCTTTCATTTAAAAGAGTTACAAAAATAATTGTACACTAAAGCTTAGGAAACTACAAGAAGGATATTTTTCATTAGAAATGGTTCATGCTCCTTTTTCTCCTGCACGGTGTGGAAAGTGTTTGCCATAGCCAACATCCAAAGAGGAAGCTTATTTGTTAAGAAAACATGTATTTTCCAGTGTTTGCTGGGGGAAGGGAGTATATTTTTGTGCGCCTTCTAAGAAAAATGTTTTCAGATTAGCTCTATGCCTCCCAACGTCGCCGAGAAGGATTTAGCCTCTTCTCGCAGCACGCTGCCTTGTTTGCGCAGCCGAGAGCATGGCTGCTAATGGATGGCAAACAAGGGGTGATGCAGGCGCCTCTGCTTCTCTGTTTGCAGGAGAAGGCCATCTCCCAAGGAGCAGTTCGTGGTGACACCGTCCTTTGCAACAGTTGGCATGGAGACCACGCAGCTCACCGAGGAGAACGCAGACTTCGCCTCGCGGGACCGCTATCACCAGTCCTCGCTTATCAGCAGAGAGGGGTTTGGGAATCAATTCCAGTAAAGGACACACAAAAAAAATCAAGCCATCACTTCAAAAAGCATTTGGCAATGCTAATGGCTACCACGGTGCCTTGTGAAATACTTGAATCTATACGAAAAGGATGTCAATAGTTATTTATATATTCGAGGCTTGTTTGTTTATGCAAACTACAACATTGCTGGGTTTCAAATCTTATCCAAAATGGGGGAAAAAATGCAAATGAAAGGGCCAGTCCAGGGAAGTGATGAGTTACTGAGGACAACATAACCCTTTTAAAGAATTCAGTTATAAGCGCTATTGAGCTCTAAAGACCATCGCAGCTATAAAAGCTTACAACACCCCATTTCAAATGTCCTCTGGGTGACTAGGGACGCTTTGTGCCTGGGAGTGGTGACATCGGCAGCAGGAGCCAGCACCACAGATGGATGTGACCTTCCAGGTCAATTCATTTCTCCTCTCGGCATGAATTTGCCTGCTTGTAATACAATATTTTTCTACCTCAGCATTTCAATTACCAAGGTCTTAGAAAGTACTTTAAGGCATTAGACAATAGGCCAGAATCAGTGGCAAGTGCAAGAAGATTATGAAATATATTCACAGCTGGAATCGCACATTTAAATGCAGTATTGCAGTATAATGACCTCTACTGTAAAACTGTGAAATGATGTCTTAGAAGCTGTTCACAGTGATTTCCCACATCCTTTGTGACGTGACACCTGGGACCTGACAACATAGCTGGGTCCAAACAGAGCATCTGCTGGCTGAAGGGACAGATGATTCAGAAGTGCCTTAACAAAATACGTTTAGCCTCATCCTTGCTTATTTTGCTTAAAGCCCATCCCATAATGAGGTCCCACAAGGAGCCGTTTCTCCCGCTGCCATGATTTGGGGTGTGGGGGGTTCAGCTGGGGATGCTGCAGGATTTCCCGCGCAGACCTTAGGGTTGGTGGGCAGTGGCTGTGGGGTGGGGTGAGGTCTTACATGGACACCCCTGTCACTGTCGCTTCTGCTCCCCAGGGAAAAACCCCTGGCTGAGCGCTGCCCTGCCTGCAGGCAGCGGTCCTGGCAGAGACCCGGGGAGGTGCGAGGGAGGGCTCTGGTTTGAGGCAAGTCCCAGCACCGCAAATCAGTTCTGATGCTAAAAGGAGGGGAAAATCACTGCCTTTCACTTCCTTTAATCTCTGAGCAATTCAGCCTTTAGATTATTTATTTCTCCTTCTGTGCAATAAAGTGTGAGACACCAGAAACTCCTCTTCGTGCTTGCTGTGGGTGCACTCGATGCCTTTGAGCACTGGGGTCGTTCAGCTTGCCGGCACTTGGCACCTCAGCTGAGGGGGGACCCTCCATCCCGTCTCGTGGTCTGGCCAGCTGCAGCTTTGGCTCTTCCAGTTTTCTTACAGAGGGAAGTAAAGGAGGCTTTCTGCTGAGGTGAAGAAAAGAGCAATCCTGGCACACTGCAGAAAGCATATTTATTTTTCAAGGCCACAAGTCTTTTACTAAGTGTTTGTAACCTTAATTATCTCAATAGAGGCAAGAGGGAAGTTATGCTTGTGGGGCCAGCTTTGAGCCACCTCAAGTCAGTCGTTCTGTGTTGAAAATGCTTCTTTCAGGCTTCCTTCTTTCCATTGCCTTTTGCCTTTGGTTTCCAAAGAGTCTGGATCTGTTGTGGCAATGTGGCTCCGTGCTGAAGCCTCCCGTGTTCCCTGGGACCAGCGGCTCCAGAGAGCCCTTCCTGGGCTCGTAGCATCCTTGACCTTGGCAGCTACTGCTGTTGTGCAAACTCCAAATGCTCCTCGGTGCTGATCCACCGCTGGCAAGCTGCATGGTGCTGTGTTATCCCCTGTTACTGTTTGGTACACAACCATAATGCCATTACTGTAAAATCTTGTATTTCATAAAGTCCTGTGGCATCAAAATACTGTGGGGTGCCTTCCCTCCCGAGATGAGGATTGCCCAGCCCCGCGTTTCTCTGTAGCTTGGACAAAAGAAAACCCCAGAGCACGGCATGAAGTGATTAATGGGCAGGAGTTCCCGGGTTAACTTTTTTTTTGTTAGCTCCTAACCAATTTAGTTCCCTTAAAATAAGGCAGCAATCAGGAGATCCGGAGAGGGAGGATGGGGAAGGTCCCTTAGCCGTCTACCTTGCCTGGGAGCTGCGCTGGTCGAAGCCCGATGACTTGGTGGTGGGGAGCGTTTGCCTCTCTGACACTGCAGTCCCTGCTCTTCCCCAAAACTGGGATGCGATGGGGCAAAAATACAAGCAGCTTCTCCCTTGGGCTAGCAGTATTGGGAAAGTGCCCCGCAGCTTTGCTTTCAGCCGACTAAGTCTGCAGCAGCTGTCCCCTTCCCCTGCCACCAGCGGTCCTGCCCCTTCCTTAGCTCCAGCAGCCCTTTGCATCCGAATGTCCTCTGGAACAGTTTCCGCTGTGTTTGCCCGCTGGCTGCCGGAGGGAGGCACCGCGCTGTGCAGGGGCTCGGTGGGAGGACGTCCGGAGGGCTCTGGGGTGCAGGGATGGGTCGTGCCTCGGTATTTCTGGAAAAAGGCAGCAGCAGGGCTGGAATCGGCGCCAGATGGCAATAGCCTGGCGGCAGAGGAGATGCTCTGCAGAGCACGTCGTGCCGGGGCTTTCTGGTCTTTGGGCTCCACGTGCTGCGGCTGGAGAAACTCTTCCACCTCCCCACCGGCACCACCGGCACCGCAGGAGCCGGCTCCCTCCACCACCCGGTAAGTCCGGGCCCCTGGTCCTTTCCTCCCCTCGTGCCTGCAAGGGAGGAACACACCGCATCGGGCTGGTTTCCTTGCTGCCGTTACAGGTTATGAGTAGAACAACTTTCCTGCTTAATGCTTGAAAAGGGACGTGCTGATCTTTCCCGGAGCGTTAGCTCTGGTGTAGTTAACGGTAAGAGCGGAGGGAAGCCTTGTTTTAGCAGTGATGACCCCACAGGCTGGGTAACGTTGGAGACTCGATGAGTTCAGGCCATACGGCAATGCAGGGCTTTGCACATCAGGGAAACTTTCCCAGCAAGAAAGAAACCAGTTGCGTTGCCAAAGATTGGGGTGTCATGTCAAAAATGTCCGTAGCTTCTGTAGCACTCTAAAAAAATAGGTGAAATTAGGGGTAGGAATTCACGTTTAGTGGTTGAAGGGAAGAAATGTGGGTGGGGATTGCCACCGTGAGTGGGAATGTGTTGCTTTCACCCCCCGGGAGCCAGGCTGTGACTCCAGATGCTGCGGCTTTCATGAATATTCAGGTTCCCTGAAAGTGGGTTTGGGCCCCAGCTCTGAGCATCATTATGTCCCGTCTAGGCTGCAACTTGTTTGATGTCATTATGAAAAGGCCCTCCCATCTTCTAAGCCATGTAAGCTTTGTTAGCATCTATAATTATTTTCTTTTCAGCTGGAAACTTTACTTTTTTATTATTATTATTTGAGAAATGAAAATGTTTTGCAATGGGTCAGGGTGTGAAAACATTTGTTTTCGAGAGAGATGTGGATGTAAAAACTCTGGTTTTGTTTCTTTTTGAAGACTCCAACTGTAAATTGGTGGCTCTGGTTTTGATGGCTTCCTTTGCAGAGCATACAAGCACAGAAGGCAGTGGAGGACAAATATTTTATTACTTGCCTTGCAGTATTGCCTGGAAGCTCATGCTGCGTTTGTGATCCCACAGCACTAAACGGATCTGGAAATCATAATCTTCTGCCTCAAAAAACTTGTAGCACAAATAGTCAAGACTAAGAATGGGCAGGAGAAAAGTGAAGTTTTATTGTGATGTTGGCATAAAGAGACAGCTCCTCAGTTGGTATAAATTGTCATCATCCACCTGGATCTGCCTGTGTGTCCCATTAGGAATCTGCACGGGGAGAACTAAGCTCCTTAAATCCATAGCTTAGCTCAAACCTTTTTTTCTGCCCTCTTGGCTCTCTCTTAGTCAGCTTTGAGTTTCCTTGGAAGGCCTTTGTTGTGTATGGTGGCCAAAAAATCACACACCTGCCAGGGTCACTTATTCATGGGCAGTCGTGACCACAGTGTTGAAGTAGCGAAGAATGATGACAAAATATGAAATGATGCTTCTGCGCATGGCTGAATTTCGGCACGGGGGGCTCTCTGTGCCCCGTGAGCTGGCACGCTCTCACCCATGGTTCAGACAGGCAGAGTTTCTTAAACAGCATCATGCCTACACCTGCAAGGTTGGAAGGTTGAATCACGGGAGCCAGCCTAGGATTAACATTTAGGTTAGTGGGAAACCAAGGTTATTTGAATTATTGCCCTTGCCTGGTGAATTTTAAAAAAAGGCAATTATTGGGATAAAAGAGAGACAATTTTGTAGACAACCTATAAATTTGGTAACTCCATGTAAAAGAGCTCTATAATGGACTTGCTTATGTTGCTGACTCTGCAGTACTGCGTTGCTGAGAGCCAGATTTGGCGTAGCATCGCTTAAGCCTGAGACGAGGTGAGACCTCAGCGGTAACAGCCTTAAAAGCTATGGACGAGAGGCTCTAGCAGCAAACTGCGGGCTAGAAATAAATAGCTTTACAGCCCGTACAGCACAAGAGAGGCTCCTTCCCTTTCCACCTTCTGCCCCTCGTGGCTTTTTTCACGTGACACGCATGCACGTTTCCCCCCACCCGCCTGAGCCTGTGCCCCCCCATACCTGGGATTTGCCCCCCTCGTGCCAAAGCGAGTGGAAGCACGGGCGCGCTCCCAGAAAGGCAGCAGTCAGGGAACGCACCTGTAACTTTATCGGATCCAAATGTTGCTCGTAAACTTTGGCAGGGGCTTGGTTTTGGATTTTAAGGGCGCTGCTGTGCGGTGTTTTGCTCAGCTCCGAAATGGCTGGGTTTTTCTTGACGCGCTCCAAACCAGAGCTGGCTGAAAAGGGTCCTAAAAGAAATAAATCAGAAATTTAGAATTGCTTCTTCCCAGCAAGATTTAAGTGGCTGATTTTTTTTGGTTTTTTTTTCCCCAGAAAATATGGGATTTATTTCCAGTGACAGGATTCAAAATGCAACGTCATTT